CATTAACGAATATCATCAACGCAAGATTCCATAGCACTAATGGCAGACAGCTGGTTGATTGCATTACTGGGACTGACGGATAGATATAACTGGGTGTCATCAGCAAAGCAATGAACTTCTGGAAGATGAGTCTGAATAATGTCGAACAGTCTACTCGTATAAAGCGTGAAAAGAAGAGGTCCAAGACAGGACCCTTGCGGTACACCACATTCCAAATTGAATATCCTAGAGAGTGACCCATTAACTGATATGCACTGGGAACGGCCTGACAGGTAAGACTTAAGCCACCAAAGCACCTTGCCTTGAATACCGAAGGAGTTTTGCAATCGCCTCAGCAATGTATTATGTTCAACAGTGTCGAAGGCAGTACTCAAATCGAGCAGGAGAAGCAAGGTGACACGTTGCTTATCCATATTAAGAAGAATGTCATTTACTACCTTGAGTAGAGCAGTCTCAGTGCTATGATGATGACGGTAAGCTGACTGATACACTGGGAACAGGTTTTTTAACGACTTTTGCAGTTGCCTGGCAACAACGGTCTCAACCAGCCTCGAAATGTACTGTAGATTACTTACAGGTCTGTAATTCTTAAGAACTGGTTCAAGCCCATCTTTCTTGAGGAGTGGTCGTACTAAGGCAAGTTTCCACTGATCAGGGAAGTAGCCTGTATCCAGAGATAGATTGATTATTCTTGTGACTGAAGGTAGAAGTTCGTCAAGATGCTTAACAAGTAACGTGGTTGGAATCGGATCAAGTGGACAGGACTTCTTGGTGGACGACAAAATAGTTGCACGTACCTCACTCTCTGATAAAAGATTAAATTCGGGAAAAGAGACATCCGTGACGGATTCAACAGGTAAAGCGTTAGTTGGTTGGTGAGCGGTGCTAATAATCGCAGACTTAATGTCCAAGATCTTTTGAACAAAAAAATCGCCAAATTCATTAGCCAGGTCTTGATCATTTGCACACGGAGGGAAGATGGAACCATTGTCATGATTAAACAAGGACTTACTGGCCTTAAACAATTTCCTTTGATCGCCAACTGATCTCATCTATAAAATCAGTGTAATATTCCCGACGAGCTTTATTCATCAAGTATGTCACATGATTTCTCTGAGAGCGAATGAGGGCAAGATTTAAGGGTGACCTCGAAGCTCTCCAACGCCTCTCTGCTTTTCTTTTTTTCCGTTTTGCACGCCTAATTTCATCGGTCAACCATGGAGCGTAAGGTCGAGCGTGGATATGTTTTCTCTTGACGGGAGCATAACGATCCAGCAAAGCTCGCAAAGTGTTGTTAAATTGTGAAACAAGCTCATCAAGGTTGTCCCACGAGTGCTGGTACAAATCGCTATCAATAATGTCTTGCTTGAAGGCGACTGGGTCAATAGCCCGTAATTTCCTGATTGAAACAGAAGAAACCGACGGAGGCGGTTTGGTAACCTTCAGTGAGCTAATCACCGAAAGATGATCCGAAATAAGTTAGTCGGTGTAAGGAGTACCGCAGAGTAATTGATCAGAGTTTCGAGTAATGACTAGGTTCAATGTGTGACCTTGCACATGTGTTGATCCAAGTACATGTTGGGTTAAAGACATCGATTCCAGTAATTCTCGAAAAGATTCAGCAGCAGAATCATTAGGATCATCAACATGAACATTGAAGTCACCAGTTAAACAAAGTGGCTCAGATGACAAAATGATCGATTCAAGGTACTCGGAAAATTCTTCCAGAAAGGTGCTTATAGTGACGGGATAGCGAGCCTCAACCGAAAAGATCCAGCAGATGATAAATACTCCGCAAATTCAAAAGACGACTTGGAACCAGAAGCAATATTAGAGACGTAAATGCTATCCTTGAACAAAAGGCCAGTGCCGCCACCCATACGGCAGCTCTCTGGCAATGAACAAACTTATAGCCAGGTGGCGTAATCTCCTTGCAAACAGCCGAGTCTTCGAGGGAAAGCCAGGTCTCAGTTAAAGCAACCACGTCCGCTTTGCAATCATATGCATAGTCGAAGAAAAGAGCAGATTTATTCCTGAGCGAACGAGCATTCAGAGTTAAGTGGGTTATATATGAAGCCCACAAGCAGGCTCATGCTTGGGTCATACGCAAGAGCAGTGTAGTCGCCCTTGGAAAAGAGTCGGCACTCGGCAGCTCAACCGACTCGGGGTGAAGTCTGTCACTCGCCGTGCTGTGACCCAAACGCGGGCTGCACACAGCAGGCCAATTGACCTCATTTATCTATCGATTCTTTATCTAGTAAGCCATTAATTTCATAAACTGACTGTTATTAAAATAGCATTATTGATCTCAAAGCCACTTATCTGAGACAACAAATAGCGCAATGGTCATCATATCCAAACTCAGGCAGCGGCAAGCACGGGAAAATTCGTGTGAACCGAACACTAAATTTAACGGAAAAACAACACCTTCCAGCTGATTGGTTAAATGATCAGTCCTTCATGAACCATTTAACTCCAGGGGAAGCATAGTTTGTCAGCCAAACTGCTCTATCTATTTGTGGGTGATAAAGGCCGGGGTGTACAGACCTCAGGTAGCACCACTGAAGTGTTTTGTAATGTTTCGTACACCCCGCCGGAATTTCATAACTTTTGTTTCGTTAGTTTGTTTAGCTACAGACCTCGTTTTTCGTTGACTAACGCTGAGAACCATGACTGCAGGTTTCTCTAATGACTGTCGTTACACCAGAATTGAAGTAATCACATCCGACCAATCACAGCAAACCATGTAGAGCCATGGGCCAATCAGGACTCAAGCAAAAAAAAGCAACCCGCGTCAAGCAGGGGGAAATGAGTGTAACGCAACGCTCGGTCTCTCAAGTCATTTACCTGATTGGCTAATGTTATGGCCAGCAGAAGTGAATATTTAAGTCTCTGGAAACTTCTAGAATGTCAAGTCACGCAAAGTTTGTGCCAGAACCTTCTACTGTCACGCTATGGAACAGTTTAGAGCATTCTACCAAATGATGTAATTATGATGTAATGCTACATAAATAGAAGCTCCAAGAATGTTCTAGAATATTAGTTATATGTATATAAAAAATCAGCTAGGTAGTATAGAGTGCCGTTAGTTGTTCTCGGCAGCTGAGACCGAGTGGAAAGGCTATAGAGTGCTATTGTAAAAGCTATTGCGGAACTTCGTTCAAGGTCAAGTGGACCATAAGGAGATTTCTTTAATTGGAGACATCGAGATATATTGTGAGTTCGTGTCAGTGGTGACTAAAGTTTAGCAGTAGGCATAACTTAATTTGGTAGTTTATTGTATTGTTCAGAAATCGCTCCTTTGTAACTAAGATTGCGTTACATATTGTTAAATAAGTAAGTTGGGTTCGTAGAAGAGTTTCGTAGTATATCTTTCTGTCGGTCAAGCGATACCGTAACACTAAAAAAGAGATGCTTTTGTTATTGGTCAGATCAACGGTACATATTTTCCTCTTGGCAATTCAGCCAAATTTGCTCTATAACTTCGGAGGTTAAAAAAACAGAATTGAATTAAAATGTTTCGGTTGTTAAAGACAAGCTTACTCATCAAATGTGCTAAACTATTTTATAGACAAAAAAATATTTGTTGGGAATATCATAAATAGCACTGGATACGTACATAAATGACATGGTTAGAATATCACAAGCGCTTTATCTCTGGAGAAAGTATAAATAATATATATTTAGTTTTGTTTTTAATTATGTTTATTTAAACATCAAAATAAAATTAAGGTCACCTGAAGGAGATCACAACTTGTTTTTTGTCTTTGTTATAAATAGTCATTAAACTATTAACGACTTCAGTCAGATTTTTGTCCTGAAATTCCAGTCTCCGCCTCCGGGGACGAGACTTGATCATTCCAGTTCATTTGTTACATATCCAGGCAATTTCTCGAATCTTTTTTCATACGGCAAACTCTGCTCTGTATTTCTCACATGTCACGAAAACATCACGCAAAGATGTGATAAAGAGAAGCAACTGCAAAAGTCAGCTCCAAAGACCAAGACGAATTGTAGTATAACATATCGCAGAACCAATCACAGCGGAAATGACGTAATGAACCAATCAAGTCCAAGCGTGGATTTTGATTCGGTTCCTTTGCCAGTTCCATTCTCCTTCACTGATTCGCTATGGGAGTGGCAAAGTTGTCGTCATTGCATGTTTGACTTTTCATCCTTAACTTGTTGCAAAAAGTACATGTACCTGATGTAAAAACCGCCATTTTCAACATGATCTTGGAAACAGAAACTTTTTGTTGAGAGCTAAGATGGGAAAACAAATCATGGGTCTTCTTTCTCTTGGGCTTTTCTTTAACCGATTTCCAAGATATGCAAAGAGGCTAGCGGTAAGGACCTGGGGAAACCACAATAATTAAAAATCTTTTTCGAGCAATAACCCTGCGATTGTCTTTAATGTGAGTAATTGTTTCCGTTATAAGCAACGAAACACCTTGTACGCGAGCGATTAACTATTTTCGTTGATAAAATAGAAAGTGCCCGACCTTAAAATTGTATGATGGCCGAAAAGGTAATATCTTTGTTTTCACCTTGCATATTTTATCTTTTTTCTTTGTCAAAATTTCCTATATACTTTTAAATCACTTCACAGTTTTATCTTAGTATACTGTATGTTTTCGTGATAGGTGTCGACGGGCGAAAATTACGCCGAAAATAATTGGCTTCGACTGTAGCGAGAGAGATAAAATGCAACCTCTTAACGAGAAATATACACATCAAATGCTATCTTGTTCATCATTTTACGCAAATTTCAACGACGGTTTATTTGCCCCCGCGTGTTTTAATCTGAGCAAGTTGGCCATCCAAAACACTTAAGTGAGATACAAAATCAATTCAACTGCGAAATCACTTCACACTCTTTGGAAAGCGCTTTTTTATTGTACGAGTCGATTATCTCTTGCCTAATCTTCAAACAGAGAATTCGTCGATCGCAAGTTAGCAGTCTGGTCTCCTCGAAAAAGATTTTTCACGACTTCCAAGAGCGTATGGCGCACTGGATGAATGAAAACTACCGGCGAATACTTGATCATTTTCGACGATTCGATTCAGACAACAGTGGTAAACTTTCTTACGAAGAGTTTGCTGATGGTATGAGAGACGTGGGTACGTATCTCATCTAGTACATATAGAAACGAATTAAATGGGTTAATTCATAAACAAGCTAAATTGTAGACTTTAAACAGGTTTAAAGGGATCGTTCAAGCTAATAATGAACTTCGTTAATCGAAAAAATGACTGTATAACAACAAGAGGGTTAAGTATAATTCTCCTGTACAGCACAAATAAATAAAGCATTCCTGAAGCAGGAAGCAGCCAAACTACTGTCTAGTTTGTTGACCACAGTTAACTTATTGACTCGACCAACTTGGTCTACACTTTGCCTGTCAGAGGTACGTTTCTACTTTGCAAACATGGAAAAAACAACACGAACCCCTCCCATAAACGCCCCCATAATGAGCGCTATTTCAATTCTAAACTATTCTTTAATACCATTTTGCAGGAGCACCTACAACTCAAGTGGAAATCATTCTTATGGTCATGGCTCTGGACTCAGAGGGTGATAAAGAGATCGATTACCGCGAATTTAAGAAGCTGCGTTGTAAGTTTAAATTGACAGAACCCATCAGGAAAGCCGCTGCCCTCGAATATTACGAAGAACCATCGGCTCAACTACAGCCCTGTCCTAACTGCAGTGTGGGATTGTGGGAACCTGTTGCTGAGGAGATTTCAGGGTAATTACAAAATTTTTTGCAGAAAACATTATATTTTAGCGAGCGCCAGATTTGCGAAAGGATTCGTTTCCTTTATAAAATTTACAACGATGAAGAATGGCAATTGACCGACTGCCAATATTACCAGAAAATAATTACCGACTCAACATTGAATTCTACCCTCACGAATTTAAATGCCTCGTTACTTTGGAACCTTTAAGAAATACTCCAAAACTCCTTGGGAATCTGACAAAGATCCTGAACAGTACCAGACTCAACAGAACTGATGGAAAACGCTATTCCCTATTTCCTTAAACTAAGCTCTCGACTAACCTACTGACCACGGTCATTTACTAAAAGTAAATGACCGTGACCTGGTTCTACTCTTCATACACGTTTTACAAACGTAAAACAATGACCTGAAGCAAGGCAGCTGGCTGCGCTGTAGAGTCAGTCATAAACAATGCTACGCCTGCCTTTACACGACACGCCACATGTCACGAACAAAATGCTCGGTAACCGTGCACGAAGAGAAAGGCCACAGAACAAGATTTAACACTCATGAATTTTCCATTCAATCAAACATTTCGAAGTCTCGAAATGGGAAACAATTGAAGGGAAATTTGCAGGGAAAATTTCATCGCTGCCTACAACAACAGGCGTGCGCGCAGTTTTTAAGCTCGACACCACCCTTAACTCACACATGGTGCAACTGAAGGACGCTGTTGATCCGACCAAGGAAAATTCAGTAGCTTACAGTATTTCATGTAGTCTATCTATGAGCCGGGCTTCTCTAAGATTACATTCCTTGTGAATGCGATAAAGTTTACAGCGGTGAGGAGCACAACCAGTATATTCGACACGCCCGTACCCAGATCTTTTACATTTCAGAGCACTTTTACGAGGCTGGCTGCATCATTTACTTTCGATCGAAGTATCAATGTTCACTGATGGAGACACGCATCGTTACACATGCCCGTTCAAAGAGGTTATTTACAGAAGATTTCACCCTGACATTGAGATTCTGGAAGAATGGATACCCACGGTCAAGAAACAAAACAACACCACGGTGCGAAAACAGACGCCTGAGGGAACAACCTCACACCAATCACAGACGACATCGTGTTTAACGGGTAATCAGTGTGTAATGTGTAATCAGTCGATGAAGACTCTCAATAAACAGGCGAAACATCACAATCTAGATCTCAAGTCACTACATGCCGAGAAAAACGAAGTTTTGAATCTTGCTGTGACGAACTACAAAATAACACAACACAATGCAATGTAATGCAATAGAAATTTATTGTGTAATACTCTTAGCTATATGTGAGGTGTGATATCGCATGGGCGATAAAATGACACACAGGTATTCCACAAAAATTAAAATTAAAAGTGCATATTATAATACATGAGTTAAAATTTAAAAAAAAGATATGAGTCAGGATCATGAAATATACAATCAAAAATAATTACACGTTATGCTAAAAAGCAAAATCAATAATCATATGTACAGTCAAACTGACGCTAGCAATGTCTGCGCAATTGACACCTTGAAAACTCTCATTAACACTTTCTTGCTTAAATAAGCTTTTTGCTGAATTTGTTTTTTTAATTTTTGTCCCTTATCCAATGATTTATTTTAAAGTTATGTCATTTCATCTTACGCAGTTACATTTTTTAATGAATCACAATTTCTATGTAGTTTTCACGCGCAACTGAACATTATATGAAAGACTGCGCCTAATAAAGTCTAAATTGCTATTATTAATCATTTTGAACAACAAGAAAATTTTTCAATCCTCTTAACAAACAAGGCAATCGCTTGGCTCGTTAGAGGAGATTAACACGTGAAAGGGGCGTGGACGCTTGTCGAAAACACCCCGGGTGTGACTCATGCTTTAATTTATCCCTGAAAAATACTACTTCTAAAACCGGCAAATAA